AATCACACGAAAGGGATTGTCTGAAACCTCGTTTGGTATCAAACGGCTTGGAGAAGTCTTTCCCTATTCTGAAGGAGCTGGTGTTATTGCTCAACGTCATTTTACACAGCCGTATTAGTTTCGCGGGGATTTCAAATTCAGACATCGCGGCACAAAGGCAAATTCTCTTCGTGCTGTCGAAAGCGGCTTTGAAATCGACGAATAGAGGGTGTGTGTCTATCCTATTCTCGCGGGTCGTTTCTTTGGCGTATTGTGAATACCTGTTCTATGGTGGATTTTCCAGGCCTAAAGCCACACTGATAAGGTCCAATCAGTTCGTTGAGGGTGGGCTTCAGTCTGATTCTTAGAAGGCTGATTCCGCGGTAGTTGGCGCGTATGGCATGCATGCACCTCATCAGCTCCTCGACGCCGTACTTGAATAGCTCGGCCGACAGGCTCTCAGCTCCAGCAGCTGTGTTGTTCGGCTTTGTTCGGGTTCGTCTTCTTCACTACTTTCAACGCTGCTACCATTCAGTAGGTTATAAAAGTGTTCCCTCCACAATTTAAGTATATTCTGGACATCGGTCACTAGGTCGCCATTGTTGTTCTTACAGGAGTTCGCCCCGGTCTTGAAACCTTCCGTAAGTCGCCTAACCCTCTGGTAGAATTTTCGGGCGTTCTTCCTGTCGGCCAGCNCGTCTCGCCTCCTTCTTCAGTTCCCTATAACGGTCCCTCATGGCTCGCGTTGCGCCCGATCGCAGCGTGGCCCTATAGGCGGCGTATGTTTTCTCTGCGGCTTCTTGACATTCCTCATCGTAACAGTTATTTTTTGGGGCTCGCTGAAATCCAACTACTTCTTCGGCGGCGGTACTTAATGACCGGGAAATGTGGTTCCACTGCTCGCGTACGTCGGATTGTTGAAGAGTGCTCTCAGAGAGCAGGTGTTTGAGTCGAGTGGCGAATAAATTGGCCGTCTGGTGTGATTGCAGCTTTTCGACGTTAGGCTTTCCTTGCATTATTTGCTGCACAGAGGCGGGTGCGCATCTTGGCTACAACAAGATAGTGGTCCGAGTCGATGTTTGGCCCTCGGAGTGTACGTACGTCTAAAACGCTTGAAGCATGCCTTCCGTCTATCACAACATGATCGAATTGGTTTCTCGTTTTTCGATTCGGAGACAGCCATGTAGCTTGGTGGATGTTCTTATGCTGGAACCTAGTACTATATATTACCATGTTTCGGGCCCCGGCGAAGTCGATCAGCTTCAGAATTTGCGCTCCTTTACGTGGCAACTGTAGTAGACGTCGCAAGGCTGCACGCTTACTTTTTCTTGCCCCGTCCATCGCATTTCTTGGATGGAGGTGATGTCAGCCTTTGTATTCCCGAGGACATCAACCAGCCGGGCAGAAGCACCTTCCCCGTTAAAGGTCCAGATATTCCAGGTGCATACCCTTAAATCATAGTCCTTTATACGTTTTCCGAGGTCGTCATCAAAAAAGAGGGTCTCATCCGAGGCGGTTTGTTCTTTTTCATTGGGCGGGGTTTTAATGTGGCGGGACCCAAGCCCAGCGCACGCGAAGTTTTACGCCTTCTCACTTTAGCTTGCTCCGAAACGGGTGTTTGGTTGCTACCTAGAGGAAACGTGGATATAAATATCTGGACGTTGTGAGCTGCGATTTGAACCGTACGCACAAGAATCGCTTCTGGCCACTCCCAGGTGAATGGCAGTCAAAAGTTTTCCACTTTTGCGCACGGAACCATCCTCCTTTATGCCTGTGGGCAGCAAAATTATCAAGCTTACAACAACACGATAATTCGGTAACCGGTAAACCGGTAAAATAATATTCTTCTTCTTCTTATTTGGCACTACAACCGTTTGTCGGTTTGGGCCGAGACCAAAAAGCTTCTCCAATTGCTGCTCTCATCCATGGGTACATTATGTCCAAGCCAGCGCACACGCTGTATTTTACAACGCTTTTATCAACTTGCAATGTTGTGTGTCCAAACACCATTTTTAGCTATAATTATAGATTATAATCAAAGTTGCCTTACTGGAAGTAGTTAAATATTGAGTCTAAAAATATGGACGACAAGCGATTTTTTTAAATTAAAACTATGTTCACATATCAATATTACCTCAATCAAAGCTCGTTTTTTAATCGCCCCGTTCACACAGGCAAATCTCAGATTATTAGCCATCAAATTTGTTGTGCTTGTTATTCTCACATTTCAAGGAAAAGTTTTTTTTTTCTCTGTGCCACCGTGATCACGTTTTTCTGCTATATTGAGCAATATAGATATATTTTAACTTAACATTTTATTAAAAAAATACCTTGAGAACCCTCTTTTCCTTGCCAGCGTCCATTTTTGTTTACTTTTACATTTGCTATTTCTCCTCTTCTTCGCAAAAACAATCGATAAAACTAGGATGGACACCGAAAAGTTATCGGTTAAATCTGAGATTATTTTATAATTACAGATTAACAAGGGAGGAATTTTATATGGCTAATCTCTTTTTCT